ATGGAGAACGTCAACAAGATGATAGTCATGGCAAAAGATTTGGCATGTGCCAGTTCTGAAATTCCTGAAAAGATGCATGTGGCAACTATTTTGAATAGTTTACCACATTCATTGGATATCGCTACCACCACTCTGAGATGAATGAGACCATCAAAAGGGTCTTTGGCTTACCAGCTCAGTTCACAATGGAACAAGACATTCTAACAAGTAAGAAGGGCATGGATGTGAACCTTGTGCAAGTTGAAGAATCAAATGTTGTGTAATATAAGCATCCACATTCGACGCAAAAGAATCACCAAATGGGACCAAACAAACCAAGCTTTAAAGGGCCCTACCGAGCTCAAGCTTGTCCCAAGAGAAAGCCCCATGGGTCCTATGATACTTGTAAAAATTTTGGTCACTTCAAGGTAAAATGTCCACAAGAGAAAAATAAGAGTGATAAAAACATCCAGAGAAGACAGGATCTAGCAAGAGGGAATTCATATGTGTAGTTGAGTGCGATGTTGTAACAACTGATGTAGATGGTTGGTGGGTTGATTCGGGTGCCACTCGACACATTGCGAAGACTAAGGAGGGACTGATTCACCTTAAAGAGCTGAAAAAAGGAGAACAACGCATTTACATGGGGAACAATACCAATCTAGATATAGAAGGTATTGATTCCTACAAATTGGTCCTGGGTGAATTGTTTTGTCTTCCTATTATGAAATCCAATTTGATTAATATGAATGATGCTTTGAATTATTCCTTGTGTTTATTGTCTGATTTTGATCTTTCGCACATGAGATTAGTTCATCCTAGTAATCTTAAAATGGATGAAATTATTAGAATGAACATGTTACCAACTCTGGAAAGTGTGAGGACATCACCCTGTGAACATTGTTTGACCGGAAAAATGATGAGAAAGTTATTTACAAAGGGTCGAAGGGCAAAAAAGTTGTTAGAAGTAATCCATTCAGACATTTGTGGGCTATTAAGTGTAAAGATCCACACTAATAAGGAATATTTCATTACATTTATAGATGACTACTCAAAATTCACTTTTGTTTATCTCTTGAATAAAGAGTCTGAGGCTTGTGAATGTTTTAAAACATACAAAGCATAAGTAGAAAGAACTATTGGGAGATTCATAAAAATATTAAGAACTGATAGAGGAGGTGAATTCATTTCAAAAGAATTTGATAACTATTCCATTCAATAAGGAATTAAAAGGCACAAAACAATGCCTTACACACCACAACAAAATGGTGTGGCCGAAAGGGGAAATAGAACATTGTTAAATGCAATAACATGTATGTTGTCTCATTCTGAACTCTCGAAAGCTTTTTGGGGAGAAACATTTTTAACTGTGAATTATATTTTAAATAGAATCCCCACAAAATCAGCCTCTTTAATACCATTTGAACTTTGGTATGGATATAAACCCTTCTTAAGTTATCTAAGAAAATTGGGCTGCACAGCTCATATCCTCATCACAAGACAGGCTAGAGACAAGTTAGATTTTCAAACTATAAAATGCACGTTCATAGAATATTCAGAAAAACCAAAAGGATATAGATTTTTCCATGAGGTGAAAGGGGTCATTAAAAGTAGAGATGCTACTTTTTTAGAAAATCTAGAGGAATGCAAACAAGTGCAAGAAGAAGATCCTCCTCTACTTGCATTAGATGATGTTTTCAATGATGACCCGATTGACAGAGATAACTTTGATCATCCAATCATGAAAAAATGAACTCGTACATCAACAAACACCTATGGAAAATGATGTAAACAATGATATGCAACATAAAAAACTAACTGGCAACAAAAGACCTAGAACTCAACCTGCTTGGATGGATGATTATTATTTATATTCATGTGAAACATCTTGTTTTTCAATGGATCATAATATTGATGATCAGATTGATCCTCTGAATTATAATGATGCAATGAATTCATATGAGTCACATTCATGGCTCGAAGCTATGCGAGAAGAGATTGTCTATATTGAGAAAAATCAAGAATGTGAATTATGTGACTTGCCAGAAAAGAGGAAGTCAATATGATACAAATGGGTGTTGAAAAAGAAATATTGTGGGGATGGATCTATTGATAAATTAAAGGCCCCGCTAGTTGCTAAAGGTTTTACCCAAAAAGAGGGTATAGATTATCAAGAGACTAACTCTCCAGTAGCGAAATTTCAATCCATAATAATTATTTTAGCTATTATTGCCAATCTTGATTTGGAACTTTTTCAAATGGATGTCAAGACAACGTTCCTCAATGGAGAGTTGAAGGAAGTCATATACATGAACCAACCTGAAGGCGTTCAGGTCAAAGGACAAGAAAAAAAGATATATAAATTAAATAAGTCCTTATATGGTTTGAAACAGGTATCTAGACAATGATATCTCAAAATTCATAACACTATTATTCAATTTGATTTCATTGCAAATAGACTGGACAGTTGTGTATGTTCTTAGTAGTGGGAGTAAGTTTTCTATATTATCTTTATATGTTAATGATATATTACTTGTTGGAAATGATATAGAAATATTGAATAAGATCAAACATGATCTTAGTAAAGAATTTGAGATGAAAGACATGGGAGAAGCATCCTATGTCATTGGGATTCAAATCCAAAGGGATAGAAAATCTAGAATGTTGAGTTTAAACCAAGAGAAGTACTTGCATTCAATCCTTAAACGGTTTGGAATGTAAAATTGCAATCCGGCACCAACACCACTGGTCTTGGGGAACGTATGAGTAAAAGAGCAATGCCTTGGAGAAGGACAAAAATCACTTAATGTTCCGTACACTCAAGCTATGGGAAGTTTGATGTACGCAATACTGTGTAGCAGACCGAAACTGGCATATCCAATGAGTTTAGTTAGCGGATACCAGAGTCATCTTGGACCGGCACATTGGAAGCTATTAAGAAAATTATGAAGTTCATTAAGGGTACAATACGCCACAAATTAGCTTATCAAGTTGAAACGCTTGAGGTTCTTGGTTGATCCAATGCAAACTTCGGAGGGGATAAAGATGATGGAAAGTCCACTATGGGACACTTGTTCATCTATGGTGGCAAAGCTGCTTCTAGGGGTGGCAAGAAACATGAGTGTGTAACTAGATACACACAAGAAGCTGAGTATATAGTTTGCGGCATGGCTACTACTCATGTAGTCTGGATTAGGCGATTTTCGAATGATCTAAATCTAAATTTGGTGAATGAACCAATTGAAACTTTTTATGATAATAAAGTTGTTATAAGCCTAATAGACAGTGGTTCAAATAGTTTAAAAGAAGACACATTGAGATACAATATCATTATATTCAAGATATTATGAAAAAGTAAGAAACTAAGGTGACTTAGATTCCTACAAGTGATATGATAGTTGATCTATTGACAAAGAGAATTTCAGCGGATATGTTCATTAAATATGTTGGCTTGATGGGACATGGGAATGTGTAAGTCAAGAAGTTAAAGCGACATTCATACCCCATGAATAATGGGAGCATGAATGGAATTTTTGTATATCTCAAGAGTAGTGAGAGCATACTAGAAATATATTTTGTTGCGACCAAGGGGGAGATGTTAGTTTTGGCCTCAACAAAATGACCCACTATATCATAAAATCAGGAAGGGGTTGTAACAGATAGAAAAAAAAAAATCTAGGATTGATGAGAAAATAACTCAACTACACATTTCGTGGAAATTGAGGATGGTTTTGAAGGGCAGACGGTTGTAGGGTGAGCCCTTTAAATTGATGGCTAGAACCCATTGAATTTTCACCACAAACCGGGAGCCCTAAAAATCTCTCCCATCTTTTTCCCCCTCTTCAAATTTCCTCACACACCAAATTCGTGATCTATAAAAGACCAAATAAACATGTATTTAATAAAATTTAAGATTTTAAGCTGGTGGGTCCCATTTTACACAGCTAAACTGGCCAAACGCATGGAAACAAAGCCCTAATCTGATAGTTCCTACACACTCTTTTGAGGACAAAATATGCAGCCCACAAATCACAAGTTCGAGCAAAACAAACACCGAAAACACTCGCCAAAGAGTCTCATAGCATTTCCCTTGATCAACTCCATTAGGGGTGGCATTTTTAGACCCGACCCGTTAACCCGACCCGACCCGACCCGTTATTGATGGGTACGGGTCAGTACATATGGGTTCGGGTCATATACGGGTCGACCCATATGACCCATCGGGTTATGAGGGTCGACCCGTATATGACCCAAATGACCCAAATAATTCTCTTCTCTAATACACCCTCTCCTACTTGTATCCTCCATCTCCGCCCAGTCCCAGGCGTCTATATGCAAAAATCCTAAGAAAACCCACCACAAACTGCACCATCTCCCTCGTTTTAAAAAGATATCTTTTTGTTACCTCCCCTCTCTCATTCACAAGCTGCAGCTTCGCTCTCAATGGCCGCTCTCGTCTCCTCGTCAATCCCCTCTCTCTTCTCCCTAAGCCCTAGAAATCGCAAAAGCAAACCCCTCCATTTTTTCTTCTTAAATCCTAACCATAATCTCAACAATCCTCATCGCCTCTCCTTCACCTCTCGAAACCCTACCTGCTCCCCCCTCACCATCCTAACCCCTAGAAAGCTTAGAGCCATCACAGAGGAGAGTGGTGAGAAATCGGATCCAGAGGCGGTATCGGAACACGATCCTCCGAGGGATGAGGATGACTCGGGGAATGCAGTGAGATCATCGTCTTTGTTGGATTCGATGGCTACCTCTGAGTAGTGAGATCATCGGCTTCAGTAGGAACTTCCCTCTTCTGACCCATTTAATAAATGGGTACCCGTTTAATAAATGGGTTGGGTAGTCTGACCCATTTATTAAACGGGTTGGGTTCAGGTCAAGTTTAAATGGGTTGGGTCAGATTTGACCCGACCCAAAACGACCCAACCCAACCCGTTTGCCACCCCTAAACTCCATCGCTTGATGCTATGGTATCCTGTTGTTTTATTTCACATTTTGAGCAAAGCACCAAACCCTGTTAACAAAGAACTCTTCATAGCATGGCTGATATTTGTTTGATTTCACATTTTGAGCAGCCTCATATCTTATAACAAAAAAAATTTTAAGGGCAGAAAAATATAGAGCCCCTAAATCACAAGTTTGAGCAAACAAGCACCAAAACAGTCGGAAAAACTCTCTCATCACTTGATGTTGTGTATCCTTTTCGCGGATACGAGAGTGTTGGATAACAGCATGGCTATGGTCATGGGACCAACTCCACCAGGCACTGGAGTGATAGCAGAAGCTACACTGCATGCTTCATCATAGCAAACATCACCGACCAGTCGATAACCTCGAGGGCTTTCTCGGTCCTGAAATAAGAATATCAAATCTTTACATGATAACATCGAAATGAAGATATAAAATTTTTTTAGTATGATTACTTCTGAGCAAATGTAAATTTCACATTATACAATATCATCTTGGTCTCAATAATTAGGTACCGATACAGAAGTTCCACTATGATATAACATAATAGAGTGCATTAATGATGACAACGAGGTAATTGGTAGAGTACAGCATGATACAGACATAATGATATAACATACAATAGTGTACCATCGGATATACAGACATCATCTAAACTTGTTCATTCTAGAATATGAATAATAGACATCATTTTAAAACCCCAAGGACAACTGATCTACTAGTACACTACATGTTCATGTTCCTCAAAAATATTAAAAAAGCATCAAAATTGCACTCAACCAACCAGCATCTAACAGCTTCATCATTCACATAGATTAGAAATATGAAACCGGGTGGACTCATCTATATGATGCACCATCAATCAAACTATCTGCATCCATTTATCTACAAAGCAAATATCAAATAAATGCAAATCAAATTGAATTATGATGAGCCCATATTTGAAATCAATTTATGCAATGTCACCCTGAATATGTAAACATTCTAGGATACATTAAAAGGTGCATGTGGTACATATACAAAGTATCCAAGAAAAGGTAACACGCTGATGGGTGACATGCTTTAGAACGTCTATGCTTCATACTCCTAGTTTACAAATACAGATATAGTTGGATTAATTTTTTAACAGAATCAATTACAGTATCTTTCGGTTTGAGCACACATTATACAATCTAACATAGCAATAATTGCTGGTCTTTGGTCTCCAGAAGCTTCTCCATTTACGTTAACCTGTTTAATAATAGAGAAGAAGAAATAATAATAGCGCAACCTGCTGCTACCTATTTCTATTGAGAAGAAAAAAAGATGCACCACTTAACCACAAACATGGACTAAAACCATTACATCCTAATGCTTCCAATAATCTTCTCTCCCTTTCCTATATAGATCCACAGCTCATGACTAAAAATTCATGGTGGTGCCTAGAGCAGAATCCTTCTTCCTCAAGGCTAACAGAAGTTTTGACTGTACATGTTCAGAACCAAGTGTAAAGAATACTAGTAATCATCTCAAGCTTCAAGCAGCTAAATTTGCTAAAAAATACTAGTTGTCATCTCCAGCTTCCAGCAGCTGAATTAGCTGCAACAGAGCTTCTGACTTGTGAAAAGTAAACTAAAGTTTGTCTAAGCTTGCAAAGGTTCTTGACCTTTTGGCACAATAAAAATTTGCAAGTACTACATTGTTCTCAATGCAAAGGTTCTTGACCTTTTGGCACAATAAAAATTTGCAAGTACTACACTGTTCTCAATTTAAACATGCAACCTCTCAAAGAGGCAGCTCAGAGTCAATTTCCCTTTCATTAGGACATATTCTTTCTATTTTCTTTCATATATAATTACTGATAACTCATCTTTGCATTTTGCATAGTTCTAGCTAAACATGTGCATGAATCCCTGGCTTTTAGATTGGTTCTTCAATACTCAAGCTCAGGGCAGTCACCTGGCAGATCTCTCTACTCCAGATTCAAGTGAAAACTAACCACCAACTCCTACAGATAGAACCCACAAGTAAAAAAATCATCACTCTTTGTATGATTTATTAAAAAAATGGGTCGTTCATGCATGCAATCAAAACACATTGCTTGAATTTAATGGAGGCACCACTGGGTTTTGTGTCGCCGAAATCTGTCAATTTTGGTATTTGAATGTGGATTTGATTTTAATTCCTCGATAGAACCTAGAGTTACTATTAGTTAACCAGAAGTATTTTGTAAAGAAGTTTTACCATAGTAATCATTTTTCGGGTAAAATTTCATCTGGATTGATAACGTATCCTTTCTCGCTGCAAGAAGCTAATTTTGTCAAACAAAAACTTGTGCTACAGATAAATAATCAGATGCAAAAACGAATGCAATATATTTTGTGATAGACTACAATTATAAGGAAAAAATGAGGAAAGCATATTACCTCAACTGGATTGATTCCAACGTCTATCACAGCCACACCAGGCTTTAACCAGCTGCCCCTTACAAAGTGTGCAACTCCACAAGCTGAGATGACTATATCAGCCTGTCGTATGATTTCCTCAGGATTGTTGGTCCTAGAGTGTACCACAGTGACCGTTGCATTCTCTCTCTGTTGAAGTAACCAGAATCTATAGTTTTAGCAATACAAATCCATATAAGCCAGAAAACTATACGCAAATATAACAGTTGCTAGAATGGGGGGAAAGAGGAAGTGCTCGCAATCCATTTATATGCCAAACATAGTGTAAATTTACAAAAAGCCCCAGAACTTTGGAGGGTTTTGCACAAAATACCCCTAAAACTTTGTAAATCATAAAACACCCTGAATGTCCAATATGATACTAAAACCCACTTGAAAGCTGGGGGGGGGGGGGTGGCAACAACGCTGTCTTTGACATGTGTTTCTTGATATGTATCACTATGCTAGCACAAATGCTCAAAGCAAAACCAATGGATAAAAAATTGGCTGCAAGAGCTCCTATCTGTTAAGTTTACAAGAATTTTACTCTTTCCCTCTGTGTGTGCGTGCGCATGCATGAATTATACTTAGTAGATATGAGCAAATTGAATAACAGCAGTAATGTGAAAAGCACCCGTGACAACTCAAAGCAATCCTCAACTAGGGTATCTAAGTGAGACAATCAGGAGGATTTCCATCATTTATAAAGTTCTAAGGCGGATTGTGCAAAAACACCCAAAGTTCAAGGGTTTCTTGTGAAAGACCAAAAATATAAATAGTGGAAGAAAGACATGAAACTCAAGCTAATCCTGAAATACCAAAGGCTCATCCAATAACAAATTAATATAACCCTTTACAGACATCATACCTGCAACAACAATGCAGCAGGCATTCCAACAATATTGCTCCGTCCAATTACAACTGCTCTTTTTCCTTTAATTTCGATCCCATACCTGCGCAACAGTTCCATACATCCTTTGGGAGTACAAGGAACAAATAACGGTTCTCTGCCTTGAAGGGCAAGGCAACCAATATTCAGTGGATTAAAACCATCCACATCTTTTTCGATACTGACAGCATTAATAATACTTTGCTCATCCATATGCTGCAAAAGAAAATGACGAAAGAACATCAAATGTTTCCGGAAGTACCAATGAACAAAAGAGAAAGTCATATGTTCAACAATACATTAACAAGTCTCAGGATAAATATTGGAAGAAAGACATAAGACTCATGTAAGAATTAGCAACTTATACAATAGTTAATGATCCTCGAACCGAACCATTAACATAACCCTAATTGGAACACTTGAAGTTAACAAGATGCATTATTCATTGTCTGTTGTGACTTGTCAAACAAAGCAGCACTTCAGTCCAAGGAGTTATATATTGAACTAAACCGTTTATTCACAACAAAGCAAACACTATATGGAATTATCTCAAGGCAATTATGTTTTCTACTCAAACACATCCAATAGATATCTTGAAAAAATTTAAGACAAATATAATACAACTAGTAATACCAAAATTCTGAGAAATTACACCAAAATCACGCAAAAAGAATAATGCCAATAGCAAGTTTTAGAATATTCATTAACACAAAATAAAAATTCCTAGAGGTGGATTTTTCACTCTCAAAACACAAGTTAAAGAATTTTATGACAAAAGCAGCACTTCAGTCAAACAAAGCAGCACTTCAGTCCAAGGAGTTATATATTGAACTAAACCGTTTATTCACAACAAAGCAAACACTATATGGAATTATCTCAAGGCAATTATGTTTTCTACTCAAACACATCCAATAGATATCTTGAAAAAATTTAAGACAAATATAATACAACTAGTAATACCAAAATTCTGAGAAATTACACCAAAATCACGCAAAAAGAATAATGCCAATAGCAAGTTTTAGAATATTCATTAACACAAAATAAAAATTCCTAGAGGTGGATTTTTCACTCTCAAAACACAAGTTAAAGAATTTTATGACAAAAGCAGCACTTCAGTCAAACAAAGCAGCACTTCAGTCCAAGGAGTTATATATTGAACTAAACCGTTTATTCACAACAAAGCAAACACTATATGGAATTATCTCAAGGCAATTATGTTTTCTACTCAAACACATCCAATAGATATCTTGAAAAAATTTAAGACAAATATAATACAACTAGTAATACCAAAATTCTGAGAAATTTCACCAAAATCACGCAAAAAGAATAATGCCAATAGCAAGTTTTAGAATATTCATTAACACAAAATAAAAATTCTAGAGGTGGATTTTTCACTCTCAAAACACAAGTTAAAGAATTTTATGACAAAATCTGAGAAAGCTACAAAAATTATACTTTTTAAACTTAAAAAGACAATTAAAAGGAACAATGTTAGAAAGATATAGCCGCAACATTACATAGTAGAAGGGACGTATAGTAAATATTAAAGATCATTCGAGAACATATTTATATGATCAGAAATCTATGCCAAACAAAATTTTGCAGAAATGACAAACTGTGAAGAGCCTGTATTTCTTTCTAATACATCTGCTATCATTTGTAAACTTTTTCAAGTAATCCTTACAATTATAAAATTTAGTCAAAGTTTCTTACAAGAAAAATGATTGGCTGTTAATATTAAGGGGGTGAAACTGTCACCAAAATGTTGTTCAGGAAGTAGTAAGGGCTTTTAAAATGTGCAGATAACACCTTTTGTAGGATCCAACAGAGATAATAACCATCAAAGTGACCTTGGATTGCTTTGATATACGTCAGAAGGTCAACTTCCATAAAGTTTGCTTCAATCTATGGCTAAGCCCTCCTATAAATGCCCTCACTTGCCAAATGGAAGATTTCCTCTAGCCAACCTGGCTCTCCCCCAGGTCAGGCAAACTTATAAGAAGTGTGACTAATTTTTAGGCATTGAAATGGGAGCAAAGTCTAAAAAGATGGGCTAACAGATCATTGTTATCAGGACACTCATTAGTGCTGTTCTTTTACGCCTTTCCAGTAACTACATGTCATTTCAAACTATTAACATGGGCTATGTCGAGGAATGACAGAATTAAGGAAAAGTTCCTTTAGAGGGTGTACACTTGGTTGCTATAAAATGATACAGTTATCACAAGAGAAAATCTCATAACATGCAATCACAAGTTTAATGGCAAGTG